CTGTGTCACCCCCGTGTCACCTGTGTGTCACCCATCCGTGTCACCTGTGTGTCACCAGTGTGTCACCCGCACGTCACCTGTGTGTCACCTGCACATCACCTGTGTGTCACCCGGGTCACTTGTGTCACCCACGTGTCACCCGCGTCACCCCCGTGTCACCTGTGTGTCACCAGTGTGTCACCCGTGCGTCACCCGCGTGTCACCTGTGTCACCCCTGTGTCACCCCCGTGTCACCTGTGTGTCACCCATCCGTGTCACCTGTGTGTCACCAGTGTGTCACCCGCACGTCACCTGTGTGTCACCTGCACATCACCTGTGTGTCACCCGGGTCACTTGTGTCACCCACGTGTCACCAGCGTCACCCCCGTGTCACCTGTGTGTCACCAGTGTGTCACCCGTGCGTCACCCGCGTGTCACCTGTGTCACCAGTGTCACCCACACGTCACCTGTGTGTCACCCGTGTCACCCCCGTGTCACCCACATCACCTGTGTCACTCATCTGTGTCACCCCCGTGTCACCTGTGTGTCACCCCCCGTGTCACCCACCTGTGTCACACCCGTGTCACCCGCACGTCACCTGTGTGTCACCCGCGTCACCTGCGTCACCCGTCACCCATCTGTGTCACCCGCGTCACCAGTGTCACCCACATGTCACCTGCACGTCACTTGTGTCACCTGTGTGTCACCCGCATGTCACCTGTGTGTCACCTTTGTCACCCACCTGTCACCTGTACGTCACCCACATGTCACCCATCACCTGTGTCACCCACCTGTGTCACCCATGCGTCACCTACGTGTCACCTATGTGTCACCCGCATGTCACTTGCGTCACCTCTGTGTCACCCACCTGTCACCTCTGCGTCACCCGCGCATCACCCGCGTGTCACCATGTCACGTGTGTGTCACCCGCACATCACCTGTGTCACCCGCAGGTCACCTGCGGGTCACCTGTTTCACCTGTGTATCACCCTTATGTCACCCGCACGTCACCTGTCACCCACACGTCACCTCTGTCACCTATGTGTCACTCATGTCACCTGCACATCACCCACGCGTTACCTGTCACCCACGTGTCACCCGTAACCCGTGTGTCACCCGCATGTCACCCACATCACCTGTGTCACCCTCGTGTCACCCCAATGTCACCCGGTGGTGACACTGCTGTCCCCAGGCGCTCGGTGTCCCCATTGGGCGGTTGGTGTCACCACAGCGTCTCCATGGCAGGTGACACCGCTGTCCCCAAATGTCCCCCCATCCCCATGGTGGTGACACTGTTGTCCCCTGGTGTCCCCCTGGTTGGTGTCCCTGTTGTCCCCATGGTGGTGACACCAGTGTCCCCAAGTGTCTCTGCTGTCCCCAAGTGTCCCCATGGTTGGTGTCCCCCATGGTGGTGACACAATTGTCCCCATGTGTCCCCATTGTCCCCATGTGTCCCCATGGTGGTGACACCGCTGCCCCCATTGTCCCCATTGTCCCCATTGTCCCCAGGTGTCCCCATTGTCCCCATTGTCCCCACGGTTGGTGACACCGTTGTCCCCATGTGTCCCCATTGTCCCCATGGTTGGTGTCCCCATTGTCCCCATGGTTGGTG